TGTGTGTGTGTGTGTGTGTGTGTGTGTGTGTGTGTGTGTGTGTGTGTGTGTGTGTGTGTGTGTGTGTGGAGGTCGAAACTAATCGGACATAAGAGGTTTTAAAATCTTAAAGATAGTAATTAATATTTTAAAATATTATTTAAACCCTTTGCTTACTTTTACTTATACACGGGGTTTTTTTTTAGTATTTATGTGATGTCATTGTATTTATTTTCTGCGGTTAAAATTTTTATTTAAAGCTACACATTTTCTGGGGGTGGGGAGTGGGAATGGAAGACCGAACAATATTCGGGGAGTTTTGAGCCAAAAGAGAGGCGAGGCGTGGATGAGAATGAAGAGTGAACAGATTGAGAACTGATCGGGAAACGTATGTAATAATATGAAAACAAAAGGAAGGCGCCGGGGAATGTAAGAGAGTAACTTAGTTATGGCCTCTAGTCTAGCGTTACGGATGGGAAAGGTAACTCAAAAAGTAAGATCGAGATGTGTGAGAGAGAGAGAGAGAGAGCAAAAAGCAACAACAAAAATATTTTAAAATCCGAATGGCTCAACGTGCGAGACAGAAAGGCCCAATAATAGAGACAATACAGGGGGTAATCATCATCATCATCATCATCATCATCATCATCATCATCATCATCATCATCATGTTTTAACACTTTGAACCCCATCAGACGCTGGGAGCGTCCAGTACTAGTGACAACTGTTTCGTTTTATTTAGTGCTAATTATTGCTTGTTTTTTGGAACTTTTCCCGAAGCAAGTTTTTTAAAGTAATGACTAAGCCTTTGTTTCCGCTATTTAGAAGTTGGGGGCAAGTGTTTGGGGTTATAATGAGACATAGTGCACCAGGTTTAGTTGACTGTAGAAGAAAAAAAAACTCCGGGAAACGGTGGAAAAAACTCAAGGCTTAAAGAGTTAAAGTAGAAAAAGTATACTTCTGACTTGAATAGGTTTGGTCACGTTTAATCAAATTTTCGTATAGGCCTGGATAATCATCATCATCATTATCAGCAGCAGCAGCATCATCATCATAGTCAGCATCACCATCGGTGGCTCTGTTAGCTCAGTTGGTATCAAGCTGAACTAAGGAGCAGATGGCCCTGGTTCGAATTCCCGACTACGCGTTCTGTATCTCAGGTCGTTTTGTTGAGTGTTCATCAAAGCTCTCAACCTCAACCCATTTGGGTAGGTCATATTTGAGACGGACGTTAAGTTTTGATGAAAGTCCCGACTCTTGAATAGACTAAAAAGCCTTGATAGGGGCGTTATATCCCATTTAATTATTTTTGCGCCACGGTATAAATTTGTGTTCAATTTTTCTCATTCTCTTTTAAAAAAATCAATGTTCTCTTTTTCTTCACCGTCCCCCACGTTTCTCTTTCTCTCTCTCTCTCTTTCTCTCTCTCTCTCTCTCTCTCTCTCTCTCTCTCTCTCTC